AGCCTGCCTGGCGCCGGGGCAGTGTCCACGGCCGGTGCCCCCCGCCAGCCTGCAGCCTGGAGAGGGACCTGGGCCCAGGAGCAGCTTCTCCAGGAATGGGGGTCCCATGTCGAGCAGGGCACCCACCTCCCAGCCCAGGCTGCAGGGAACAGGGCTCTCCAGCAGCTCTGGGAAGGAGATCCCTTGAAAGGGTCACATGCAGTGGTGGGAGGCGGGAGGGCTCAGGAGACCCCAAAAATCCCCTTTCCCCCCACCAGCCGCGGGCAGGCAAGCAGGAAGCAGGCACTGCCTTCTCCCTCCACTCCAGCCTGGCCTGGGATGGGTCTCCCCTTGCTGTCAGGAAGCAGGTTCAGCCGTCCCCATCCCTGCAGGCAGCATGGGCAGGCCGGCAGGCTGCTGCGGCTGTGCCTGCTGAGCGGTGCGTCCCTGCCCTGGGAGCGTTCCTCCCCAGCCCTGCAAGCTCCAGCAGGAAAGGGGCCGGCGGGGATGGCTCAGCGTCCTGCTGCACCCACGCTGCTGCGTGGCTTGGGGAAGGGGCCGGGGAAGGGCAGGGTCTTCCGGACCCCAGCCCAGCAGGGCCGGGAGCACCCACCGGCTCCCAGCCTCTCTCAGAGCACAGAGTACCGTGGAGCACCATCCTGCCAGGTGCCGATCTGAGGCACCATGAGCAGTACAAGGAGCCATCGCCCTGATGTGCTGGCGCGAGGATCAGCAGTCCACAGGGCATCAAAACCAGCACTGAGTCTGCCAGACCACAGGGAGTGACGGGAGCCAGCAGCCCCACAGGACACAGGAACCTACAGCCCGTGGGGACCCTGGGCCAGGCAAGGTGCTGGGAGAGCAGGATTAGCACCCATGCAGAGCAGCCCTGGGCTTGGCCCCACTCCTGACCCCACGGCTGCGGGGTGGGGTGGAGGAGTCCACGGGCCCAGGTCTAAATCCTGAGCTCGGCCTCCTCGGGGGGCTCCAGCGAGTGCTCAGCACTGATGGCGGAGGCAGAAGGGCCCTGTGAGATGCCAAAGGGCGAGACCACGGGGGAGCGGGCAGCCAGCGGGGATAGCGAGGGGGAGAAGCTGGGCGACATGGCGGAGGATGAGATGGAGCCCTCGTGGCTGATGGGTGAGCGGCGCAGGGAGGACGGGTGCGGGAAGGTCCTGCCCGCCGGCGGCTTGGGGGGCACAGACTTGGCGCCCGGGTGGGCCACTGAGGTGATGAGGGGTGGGGGGTCAATGCGGGGCTTGGGCTCTGCCTTGGGCTTGGTCGGGAAGGGCTTGCGCAGGGAGCTCTCATCCTTGAGGCGGGCAAACTCTGTGACGACGTTGTTTCAGGG